CAGGCACTTCTAAATGTGCTTTATATTCGTTGGCACTGGTTCAGTTTCCGCTGCAGAGACTAGATACCATAAGAAGCCAATGCTTTTGTGCGAAAAAAGAACACCTATATGTATTTATGGAGCGATGATTCTCCAGGGGTAGCTGAAGCACACGCCGAAAGTGATGGAGGCTCTCCTAGAGGTTCCGGGTGAACACAAGCACGATCTCTAGGTAACATAACAATTCAACAGCTTACTGATTTGGGCCAAGAAATTGCGACCAGTCGCTGCTACTCGGCAGGCACACTCACGGCTCCATACTCCATCCACCTGCGTTCTTGCTTACGAATGTGGGCATGGAATGCAACCTTGTGTATACCGTCGCGATGCACTGGATCTGCTAAAAGGCTTCAGCGAAATCAGCTGATGAATAGGCTGCTAAATCCCCCAGTTGGCCACTTGTCGATTTGGCGCGCCAGAACTTTCTCTCCGCATTTTTTATTAGGGTTGTCGCGCCTGTATGATCTTCTGCCCTTTTTCTTCTCCAGTACCGGATTGTGTCAATGCACGCTGGCTGACTGTTGAGTGTTGCTTCTTTTCCGCAGTTCGCCTGCTTACCGCTCAACCTTCCTTCTAAGGTGTCGGCGTTGAGTCTGTTTTGATGCAAAGCTTGAGGCCGCTCCATGAGTTATCTCGATCCGGTACACTGGGCGTCCAGCAAGAGGCCGGCTAGCTCGGACCGCCTTTTTGTTAGGCAAATATGAAAACCCTTCCTCTAAGTGCTATCACTTCTACCTCTCATCAGCAGTTGATTGGATGAAATCCTCCAAACGGTGATCTTTGTAAGGCCATCGCGACGGAGTGCATCAATTTTCCCGCCATCTCCCAGCATGAGAAAATCCCGTATAGCAGGCCAGCTAAGGCGTGTTTGGGGCCTTATGGATCATAGGACCCTCGGAACTGGACTCCACCCCGATCGGTGGGTGCACCAAGCATTGTCTGCAGCTCTGCCTCTTGAGCCCCCAACAACAACACAAACGCAGGCGAAAAAGCTCAAGCATGAGTTCCAGGTTCCAGTAGAGATCCGATTCCCCCAATGCGATGGGATGTAATGGAACAGTAACAGGGGGGGTACTGTGAATCAAGGAATCTGATGATGTGCGGGCTGAGCGCTCATTCGCTCTCGTGTTGCGCCTGTTTTCGTTCACGTTAATAAAGAATATTACACTGTAGTGTAATATTCCAATAAGCATGACTGAGTAACAGGCTGTTCCTCTGAAAGCCATCTGCGGGGCACATCCCTTAGCGGGCATAAAGTGAAAACCTCAAGTAACTTCCCTGAGCGACAGAAGCTCAAACATCTCATCTGACTCGGCAAATAAATAACTTGTTCGCTTCTCCAAAATTGTTGTGCCCTCGTTTTCAGTAGACCAGGCACTGTGGCCCTAGGCTGGGAGAGGAGACGGCCTGGCAGGCTGCAACAGATTTTGCACAAAGTCTCGGGCCAGCCTCTCGTATTCGTAACAGTATCGCTCTTCCTGTAAACAATATCCAGTACACACTAGTACACTCGCCAAGTACGTAGTGCGAAAATTTCAATCTGCACACACATCCGCTTCCATTATCCAACCAATCCTCACTCCTCCGCAATGAGCACGGCAGTGTTGCCGTGTTCGTAGTGAGTATTCACTACACCCAGCACCCAGCGCCTCTGCACTGCTTGGGAACCTCCTTTCCCCCTTTTCCTCCAGTCCAATGATCAATACTTTTGCCGAAAGATGCAAATGCTGTTGGGGTCGCGGGGAGGTAAATCCTCTGACTGATTCCCGGCATATGCACTTCAATGCTGTGGTCTGGAAGCCGCCTGCGGACCCTCTACTGAGTTACGTTCGAAATGCCTACGAGTAAGCAGTGGTGGAGTGATCTAGCGTAAAAGACGTATATCCTGGCGATGAGACCCGTCTATGAGTTAAGCTCACATTGCACGCAGGTGGAGTCTATTGCCTATCATCGTTTCCTGTCCGCCACAGAGGCGACGGCTACGAATATACTGGTAAGTTGCTCATCCTCCCACCAGATCCACTTATCAGTCTGTGCCAATTAGGGCTAGCGACGCCTGACCATTAAAAAGGAGTTTTATGAACACATAGTGAACTCTATTGAAATCTTTATGTACGGTTACGAGGCCGTTAGGCCTCACAACTGGGGCGGATGTTGCGTGGGGGACACAGAATATCTCTGGTCGTTTCGTAGCAACACATGCAGGTACAGCCAAGCCCCTCTAACTTCATGCTTGAACACTGTCGAAAATTAGTAGACAATTTTTGGCCCCGAGTATCCCGCCCGCAGGCAAGTACAAATGTACGTGCAGCCATGCAGCGCTGCTACGCAGAATACGGTGCAAGCGAAGTTAAAGTATCCACACACCTGAGCGTTGAAAGAGCTTTAATGAAGGCTAGGACATAGAAGTTTGCAGTTTTGTACAAGCTTGTCATGCTGAAGTGTAACATATACACGGGGAGCGGTGAATATAGTTGAATAGCAACGGCACCCCAAACGGCGTGCAGCGGGAGGTGGTTCTCCCGCNGGGGAGCGGTGAATATAGTTGAATAGCAACGGCACCCCAAACGGCGTGCAGCGGGAGGTGGTTCTCCCGCGCAGCCAAATTTCACTTCCCCAAAAGTGCACGAAGAGTTCTTTGCGAAAAAGAAGCTTTGCAATGATACGAGGATATTCTTTCGAGAGAAGCACACCTGCCAAAGGCGCTAACCTACGCATAGAAGTGCCCCCATCATCAGCCGATGACGATGGCCCCGGGGCTACCGTCATTTCCATCCACTCCTTTTCCAAGTCCACCACCGATAAAATTGCGTGTACGAGCAATGTGAGTTATCTAGGTATAATAAAATATAGTTCATTATCACCTTTAGTTCCGGTGTAAAGCGGGGAGAGGTTGGCTTGCTTTTGCGTGATTGATCGATGCCGAAGATCCACCGTGAGCGACGAGGGACTGACTCAGTGCCATCACGTACATGGTTCTCTTTCATTTATGATTAAATATCATGAAAGGATCCAGAGGCTTCTGTCTTGTTGTTCTTCTTTTTGTTTTGGGACATTCTGAGGACGAAGATGGATGGGTATCTTCCGCCTGGTGAGACAACAAATACAACAGTCAAATCGGAGCCGTCGCTAGCTGCTAAGCGGTTGCCGGCAGACAGTCATAAGAAATCTTCGATTTCTTCTCTGGGACGAGTTGGCCTGGTATCCTTCACTTTGGCTGCGGCTAGCTTGCTCTTGTTCTTCTCGATCCATAAGAAGCTGGCCCCCCGCTTAGCTCCAATCGCTTCGATCAGTCCTGTGGATTCAGTAGAGTCTGGGGGTTCAGTGCATTCTGGGGATTCTGAGGACTTAGAAGCTGCATCTATCCTTGCAACTACCTCTCCTTCTCTCCTTGCATTTGATGAGCAAGAGAAACCACCGCCTCAGCAGCTCAGTATAGATGCTGATGCTGCCAGCCCACCACCAGGCGAGAGTAGCACGCCGCATACTCAGCCATCTGGTGAGGTAGAACCTTCTGAATCATCAGCTTTCGTTGTATCGACCACTCCTCCTGTGAAATATGTATCACAGCGGGATGTTTGGGGCTTGGATACACTTGAACAGTTTGAACTAAATCTCCCTGCATCACTGCAGCAGGGCAAAGCGGCACTTGCTGCTTGGGGGTCTGAATTCTATGAAAGCGATGAGTTTTTTCAGAATCTTGACGCCTTTCAGCGTTCTGTTAGTGAGGCTATTTGGGAGAAAGCTGTTAATTCCTTTGTTGATACAGTCGTGGTTTTGCGGGGTACAAGGCCCCTGAGGTTAGATGAAGAGATCAAGCATTTGCCTCATGTGCTGAGAGTGACGAAGGTAGCTACTGTTTTACAAGGGGGTTTATTGCTGCATGTTGAAGATGTNATTTTTGGCGTAGAAAAATTTCTGGGGAAAGTAAGACGAGCATTCAACGATGAACGAAATACAGAGATACAAGCATGCGGGCAGGTATCTGCTGAGCTCGCCGCCAACGAGAAGGGCTTTGCAGTCTCACGCTTCACTGGTGAGATCGCTGGAGCCGTACCTGTATGTTACACAGAGGGGACTTATATCATGAATAGGCCGAAGCTGATGGAGAAAGTTAAGGGGACCCTTATGCATCTGAAGAAAAGAGCGCCTGGTGTGATGAAGGAAGCGCGGGACTACATCGCTTTCCGCTTGCTGCAGATAGTGCTCAAACTCGAGCAAGCGGGGATTGGTCACCTTGGCCTCGATTGGGATTCTCTTTTTCTGCGTGAAGATGGATCTTTTCTGTTGGGAAATTTCGGCAGCAGCGCTCCCTTTGGAAGACCAGTCGTAAGCCAATTGGCTTATCTTTCTCACCAGGTGGACCCTGGTATACTAACAAGAGCTGAAGGTAGCGTCCTGTATCCTGCACCTGGGGGGAATCTGTGGTCACTTGGACTCATGCTCTTCCAGTTATACACAGGCAAGGACGACCCGTATGGAAAAGCACAGGGAAGATCTGAAATAGATGCGGCAACAAATCTAGCGAGGGGGCTGTTGTCAAGAGATACACGTTCCTATGTACTGAGTTATGAGTTGACAGCCTGTAATGTACCATCAAGGTGGAAACAGCTTATTATGAGGTTGTTAGAGCCACGCGCAGCAAACAGAATAAATGGCTTTGAGGTTACCATGGAGTTCCCAGACCTAGTCCATCCTTCTGGTAATTGAGGCCTCTGTTATTCTATCATTCAAGAATAAAAAAAAGAGCCATTCATCTTTCCTCCGTCTTAGTCTGCATGAATCCTCACGTCTGGCCCGCGAGTGAATTTCCGTCTTGTAAAACCTTCACATCTGTTTTTGGAAGAAATGGGGGAAACTGAGAGNGCCCGCGAGTGAATTTCCGTCTTGTAAAACCTTCACATCTGTTTTTGGAAGAAATGGGGGAAACTGAGAGTACCCCGTTTCGGAGCCATGCAGGCAAAGAGAAGTTCATAAGCTGGAAACTCATAGGCTAGATAGATGTTGACAGGCTGGAGAGGCACTTAGTGGTGGCTGGCTCTTGGCTCCCAGAGTTTGCTCTTTTGGGTTTTCACAGCGCTTCCAAGAGCATATTGTCGTCGAATACTGTTTGGTTTTTATTATCACCATGGTATGTACGGCGTTATTAATGCATCGTTTTCTGTATTTTGATCCCCATCAAGAGTTCTCATATGACAAGCAAGAAAAACCCAAGTCAAAGGATACTTAGGCACAATCGTATACTTTTTATATGGGAACTGTTTGTGTATCGTCAAACAAACTCGGCTTTGAAGAGTGCATACTGGCGGCTGTAGATTAGCCGTTATATCCACACTTTCTCGAGTCCCGCTGTGCTATCACCAGACACGCTGGTTTTGCATGCGTGCGGAAATTTGTAGCAGGGGGACCAGGAATCCCAATATGTAGGGAAAGAGCAGTCTCGCCTACCGTGGTTGCATCCCGGGTTGGGGGTCTAGTGTTCACACTTGCTGAAGTTCCTGGGTCAGGTAGCCTGGATCCGGGAAGGTGATACATAAACTGTGTCCGCTTTGGGTAATTTCAATCGCCCAGAGAGCTCCCTGTAGCATTCAGCTAAAGGCGAGTTGTCTACAGTTCCGACGACCACGGCAGCGCTTGGTGCGGCGCTGCGCGTGGTTTCTTGCAGAAACCGAGGATTTCGACTGAATTATTTCTCCATCAGGGTAGTTAATTTGTTATTTAGTTGAATAGATATGTAGTCATATCACGTAGTAGGTGTACTCGTAGCAGGAAAAACCTCTCCCAGTAGATGGGGGGCATCCGACTGCAGCCTCGTGTCCAGCGGAATATAGTGTGGGGGGTTGCACGCAAGCCACACACTTTCCCCGGCGACATTCTTTCTTTAAACAGAAACAAAGCTTTTTGTATTGAATTTACATCATGAGAATGAAGCTTAATGCGTAGACGACGCAAATACATTTGCTCTGCTGCACGCAGGAATCGGAGGAGTGCAGAATCGAGAGCACCCTCCAACGAAATCCATCATGGGTTGTCTTCGGATAAATGCAAACTTGTAAGATTTGTGTTTGTATATTTATATTTATTTGTGGTTTTCAAGGCATTCTGAACCGCAGTATTCATTCGAATTCATATATGTACTGCGGGTGAAGCGTTGTAGTGGTCCTTCCTTTTCAGCGAGCCTGCTTGCATGACCACATGAGCTGCGCTAAATCTTGGAGTATACTGAACATATTTGTTTGATTCTCCCTTGCGTTTGCTTATAGCAAACGCTTTGCTTATAAATTATTTTATATATTTCCAGTCGTTGGTGATTTTGCTCGGTTTTGCCGCGAGACCCTCTGAACTGACCAGAGATGATCGGGGAGCTCCGCCCCGTGGAGGGGCAAGATAGTATGGTTTCTTCTCCCCCCTCAATCGATAAACACGACAAAGCAGATGTACAAATGCAAGATGTTATCGATTCAAGTACAGTGAGTACAAGAACGGGGAGTCGAACAACACGGTGGCATTGGGAACGATATTTCGTCTACTTTTTGACTTTGGGGGTGGCAACTGCGCTCCTTTTCACGATATTTCCTAGAGTGCCAGAGGCTGTGTATGGGCGTTTGCCTGTTTCAAAGGAAAGCAGAGATTATCGGGGGGGTTCTCATAGTACCCAGCCATCGGTGTTGCCGCCGAGTTCTGCGGTTGAACCCCAGCAGCAAAAGCAGGGTGAAGGCGGGCAAGCACCCTCAGCAGGAGGCGAGGAGGACACGACGAAAGCGACCGGAACTGAATCTAGTCTTGAAGACCAGATTCCCCTCTATGACGCGTGGGGATTGCCGATGCTTGATGAGTTTNAACTGAATCTAGTCTTGAAGACCAGATTCCCCTCTATGACGCGTGGGGATTGCCGATGCTTGATGAGTTTGAGAAAACGCTCACTCCAGAAGCAAGACGAGGAAAAGAGGAAATTGCAGCATTTCTTGCAAAGAATAGCTTACGCGAGGATCTATCAGGTGCAGAAGAATCTTCAGAGCTTTCAGCTATTGCTAGAATAATATCAGGTGGTTCAGCTGAGTCCTTAGTTGGCCTGACACTACTGGTGAAGAACGTGAAGCCATTACAAATGTTAGACAAGGGTAAACATGTGCCCCGCCTTTTACGCATAACTGAAGTACTAGGCAAAGGATCTTCAGCTATTGTTGTGGAAGCTGAGGATGTGGATACTCATGATACTTATGCAATGCGTATTCTCCGTCAAGATGCACAAACTGCACAGTGGTTTCAAGCAGATGAATCTTTCATTGCGGAGATACAGCGAGAACTTGGCTTCGAGGAAGAGGGAGCGAGGCAGTTATGCGGCATCATTCCAGCAAATATGGTGGCCTCAAAGAAGGGCATAGCCGTTCCTTTGTTCAGTGCCGATCTTGCTGGAGTACCCGAAGCCCAGCGTGTCGGTAGATACTTTATATTGGGNTTCCTTTGTTCAGTGCCGATCTTGCTGGAGTACCCGAAGCCCAGCGTGTCGGTAGATACTTTATATTGGGACGTGTGCAGCTGATGGAGAGGCTTTACGGGGCGGTTATAGATCTATATGTAGAAGCAGGGAGTGTTGTAAAGAAAGCGCGGGAGTACATGGCTCGCCGTTTGCTACAAATTGTTCTTAAAATTCAACAAGCTGGCCTCAGCCACAACGACCTAAAATGGGATAATATGTTGCTGCGGTCAGACGGCTCTTTCGTTATCTCTGATCTGGGCTCAGCCCTCTCATTCGGAAGCCCATGCAGAAAACTCACACTTTTCACGCCGCAGTACCGGGAGCCCCAGCTAGCTTTGCGGCCAGACCCTGAGGCCTACGACGGCGGGTTCACGATCCCTCACGCCAGCAGCGACTTGTGGTCTTTGGGGATACTTTTGTATGAACTGTTTACAGGCGAAACATATCCATATGGAGAAATGAATGTGAAAGGCGTGGAGGACCCCGATATGGCGCTAGCTGCATGGCTTATTGATAATGGGATAAGGTCATCTACTCTTAAACCCTCTCTAGATGCTGCAAATATACCAACTAGGTGGCAAGAGCTTATTATGAGATTGCTGGAGCCAAACAGGAGACATAGAATAACATCCTGGGAAATAATGGAGGAATTTCCTGACTTAGTACGAAATCCAGAATAACAAGTTTCGTATCGTTGGCTCCGTGATCATGGTGAAAGCTGCAACAGCTTCACCCCGCCGCGTGGTTTCTGTGTTGGGGGATTGCTATTGCTATGCCTATTAAACTTTTTATTATTTTCAAATATATTGTGGTGTAAACAGATGCTATTGTTTCCATCGTCTTCGTGTCGTCCTTGTAAGCACGCACCTGCAGGCCAAGAACAGAAAACGCAGACAGAAAGCTGCTTTTCTATGCTATCTCGGCTCCCCTGATGGCATACAAGAGGTGGAANCAGAAAACGCAGACAGAAAGCTGCTTTTCTATGCTATCTCGGCTCCCCTGATGGCATACAAGAGGTGGAAACAGAGCAAGTGGAGTTGTGTGTAAAAGGGAATTCGTAATCACAGTGTATAACTTTGCGTGTTGTGTGGAGTTTGTCTCAGCGTCAGAAGTGTGCAGGTTGGCTAAGAGGCCTCAACGCAGTTCATTTGTGTAAACCGCGTTGAGGCCATGGATGCCACGGGTTACTGTGGTTTCCATTTGACTCTATTTAAACATCTGCTTTCCCCCCCCCCATGCAATGCAATACTCATTCTGCATCCCACGGTAGGTACAGGCATCCTCATCGTTCATCAACAGTGAGGATTCAACAAAAAACCTGTATTTCCTTCCTGGTTGCCTTCAATTTATTAATACTGGCCATTCAGCATGGCTAACACAAAAGCATTTGACGGCCCCCCAGGCCACTGAACTACGCTCTCGAGCCGTGAAGGCGAGGAGAGAGATTTTTCACGTGTTGAGTGCTATTAGGAGCATTCGTTTTCAAGCATCTATATACCTAGAGCGTGTGTGCTGCAATCCAACTAACTGCTGAGGGCACACTGTCTGTGGAGTTTCTGATAGGCAAGAAGTACAGGAGNGTGCTGCAATCCAACTAACTGCTGAGGGCACACTGTCTGTGGAGTTTCTGATAGGCAAGAAGTACAGGAGTTGTTGCTGTAGCCGTCTGAATCCCGACAAGGTTAGCAGGGCCTAGCTTTTCTTCCAGCATGGTCAGTAGATGCTTCTCAGTTTCCATAGGTAGTGCCTCTATTAAGCCACTGTAGTGTATTGATAGTCGTGAAACACCTAGTATGCAACAAGAAGGGTAGGAGGCAGTCCCCATACACGGGCTTTGTCAGAAGTGAGCGGGTTCTTACCGCGTGTTCTGTATCTTAAGAGGCTGATGAAATATTCTATTTTATTTGTCTGCACAAGCTAGTGGATTGCCCCCATGTGTGAACGCTACAGGGAGGCAGCCTGCAGCCTTCTCATCCCCCCATATGCCGTATCATGTTTAACGTCACATACTATCATGAGTTAAGGTTCATACAACACT